TTCCGATAAAAAGTTGTAATAAATAGGTATGCAGGTTGGATTCAGTGGTCATGGATTCAGCCAGGTCAGTAGGATTATTTACCCGGAAAAACATGCGTAAAACCGTGCAGAAATTTAGCAGGGCTCTTAAAACGCTCTGGCTGTGTCTGACCCATCCCATCGTGTGATGCATGTGTAAGGCTGCGCGGGGCTCTCCCACACCCTGATTTCATTGGCACTCCAGCTTGTAGCATGAAACATGTATTAACCCTTAATAATTTATTAACTCTAGACACGGTTTATAAATGTACAATTCCTTTAAAATGCCAACTGGTTCTTCCTTCCAGTACATATCAGCTGACGGACTGTTCTCTTGGGTTTGTCCCTCTGACGTTTTCCCTCCTATTTCCCCTTAAAACTCTGGCTGACCGGGGGATTATTCCATTTTGGTATCATTTTGCCTGTCTTACTCATTAACACAGTAATTAATAGGACAGGTCCTTGTCACCTGTTGCTGGTAAACTTCACTATTCTGAAACTTTTTTCAATAAATGGATAATAAAGTACGCCGCTCATACCATTTCAGAGTAAAATGGTGCCTTTACATTATAAAATTCACCATTCTACATATAAAATGGGTGCTGTAAGGACTTTACTGCTTCTCTGTGTGTTCTCTAAGAAGTGTTGGCTCTGCCTGTCTGCTCTGTGGATATTTGTATTTGCATCTCTGAGACTTGAGTTAGTTTTGATTATATTCTGTGTAGCTACTACTGTAAAAAGTCAAGACAACAATCCCACTGGGTTTGGGTTGTGTGTTTTTTCTCTCCAGTTACTATAAAGCGATCCAGTGTCTTTTCTAACGTAACAGCATTGCGAGCAGGGGTTACTCGTGCCATAACCTCTAAGCACGTGTGGTTTTTGTTCCGCAGTCGCGGGAGCACGGGCAGGGAGAAGAATGACAAACCTCTCCCACCTTCCCTCTCCCGTCCCAACACCTTCCTTCGGGGCAGCAGCAGTAAAGAGCTGCTGCTCGACAATCAGGCACAAGAGGAGCAGCGGAGGGAGATGCTGGAGACGGTGAAGCAGTTAACAGGCGGCATGGAGATGGACAGAAGCAGCACAGAGGCAGAGAGGAACAAAGCCAAGGAATCTGGTAAGCGGCTCTTCCGTGCTCGGGGAATCTCGCTATTCAGTGTGAAAAGGCATAAGGGAAAAAATCTACCAGAAAAAGTGACCGATTTCTGTGCAGCGGTGTGAATATTTGGCCCGCAGTGACGCATCGTCAAGCTGCGATAGCTGTGATCGGTCTCCCAAAGGTTTGTAACGCAGCTGATTCCTACAGGCCTCGGCGTCATCTCCTCTCACCAGCTCCTCCTTAGGATTCAGCAGAGTTGAAAGGCTGGAGATACCAGCAAAACACCACTGCACCGCGTTGTCTTGCCTGCTCATATCCCATCACTGTTGCTGCTGGTTTCCAGGTTAGAAGTCTCGAAAATCAGTGTCAGTACTGCAGAAATGCTTCTTCAGTGCTGAGTAAGGCCATATCAACCCTTTCCAAACATTTCCCAGGGCCAGAGCAGTGCTTTGGGTCTGGGACGGACCACGCATAGTATCTTTCTAGCACTGCGTTGTTGCCAGCCCTCGTTCCAAGCAGGTCTCGGTGCAGTGTGGCGTTAGCACCCACTGGGGTGGCTTGTCACCTTGTCAGTGCTGCAGCTCCCACTTTTTGCTCCTGCCAGCTTGAGGTGATTTGTTAGTGAGAAAATATTGAGGACGCTTAGAGCGATGTTCCCTGTGGACAGGACCTTTGCGATAAGTACCGTGGTTTGCTCCTTTCCTGGGAAACATCTAGAAACTGCTACAGTGAGGAATACATCTTGACTGCCACGACACAGCACGCGCTCGCCTTGAAGCTTTGGGACTTTGGGAAGAACTTCATGGGGAACAAGGTTTTGGGGATGTGATCGGGAGATTGCTTTGGGTTGTTGCCCATTGCAGTCAGCGTGTTTTAAATTTGCGGCATGCTGGTAACAGCTCAAAGTTGAATTATTTAACATTGATAGAGTGCTTTGAAGGTGTTGCATCCTGTCTCACTGCCAACTGTGTTTCTACAAAAAGGCTGATAAATATTGGGAGTTCATCCAGAGGAAAATGTAGCCAAGAAAGAAGTGCCCTGTGCCTGATGATGGGACAGGGAACACACCTGCTCCAGTGACTTCTGTTTTCAGAGTGTTGTCTCTGAAAATGATGCTGATCTTCCTCTTGTAAATGTGCTCTTTTTTTTTTTTTTTCTTATATTTCTACCAGCCAAGCCAGAAGCTCCCCCAGCTCCAGTGCAAGAAAAGCCTTCACTATCAGAAGAGGAAATAGAGAGGAAATGCAAATCTATTATTGATGAGTTCTTGCATATTAATGATTTTAAGGTAAGCAAAATGAAAACCTCGCTTACTCAAGTCCCACAAACCTTTCCGCTGTGTTTTCTCTCCAGGAACAGTGTCTTTGTAGGCACCCAGCTCACACAGAAGTAACAGAAACGGTGGGCCCTGTCAAAATTCAGGCAGCAGTAGCTCCATGAGCATTTTTAGGACAGTTTTCTCCCAAACTTGTTTTCTGCCCTGCTAGTAACAGGAAAAATAGCCCAGTTTGTGAGTTTTAAGTGGCAAGATGTATGTGTATCTTGTCATGAATCACTGAGCAGGTCCCTAATAACAGCAATTTTGGAAGCAGAAAAGCTAGTGGGAAAATCAACAGAGATTTTTATTCCGTTATCAAAGCATGTGCTGTTCTGATCTGGAGGCAGGTAAAGCCATACTAAATATTGAACAAACCACTCCAGAGTATTCTTAATAAACACTGAAAATTACTGAGCAGCTGTCATCACTTCCTAGTTAAAGGTTGAAATTTTGTTTCCCTTGTAAATGGATTTTTAGTGTGTCCAGGGAGTTTGCAAAAAGTGTTACACTTGCTGCAAAGCCAATTGGTTTGATCTTTTGCTCAAATAAATTTTAAAAACCTGCCAAGTTTGAAATGGGAGCACTAGGGAGTTCCTAGTTTGCCACCCTAAAAGCAGAGTAGCTGCTTGCACTTCAGAGGGCTTCCAATTAAAATCGGAAAGAGGAATATTCTCAATTCCAATGATGGATTGTTTTGGGCTCCCATCTAGTTATCAGGAAAAATTATTAAATCCTGGTTTGGCAGGAAAAAAAAGAAAAAAAAGATACACTTTTGAGTCGCAATGTCCCCCAGCTTGCTGGCCTGGCAGATCTCAGCAGGAGGAGTCGGGGACGGCGGGGCTGGTTAACAAAGGAGTCTCCGGTCCTTTTTCTTTTTTGCGATAGACTTCAAAGTCTAACCCCAGGATGTCTGGGGCTAAGGGGCTGCTTCAGTCTCTGCTTGCAAATACAGTGACATATTTTTATGGCTGGATGAAAATGAGAGTTGAATTGTAGTAGACAAGTGCACCAAAGTACATCAGATTGAGGCAGCTTGTTCGCATTTGGGGGTTACTTGATAATTGTAAATTCTCAGTGCTCTTCAAACGCAGCTTCTGACAAATTCAGCTTAAACTCACATTAATAAGGCCATATATGAGTGTGTTAATGTAGTATATGGCAGAGGAATAGCCATTTCTCATGAGTTTAGTCTTCAGTATTTAACCTGACTGTAAATTAAACTGCTGAGCTGTATGCCGGTGTCTAGTGACAGCAGGACCGACCGGCAGCGTGTTCACCTGTCTGTCCTGGAGACACCAGGACCCATCCGGCGGAAGAGCTCTGACCTGAGCCCGTGGTCTGGGACTGCCAGGCTTCTGACCTGCAGAAAAAAAGCTGTTCGGGGGCTGCCAAGTTCTTGATAACTAAAGGCATAACCTAAGACAAAGAGCAAATGCCGTTAGTCAGGAAGCCTGTTGAGATCTGTTGGGCTGAACCTAGAAGGCCAGTGACAGATCTTTGCTGATGACAGTGGAGATTTTTGAAGTGTGACATTGAGTGCTTCTCTGAAAGTCTCTATTTAAGAGTGTTTTATTTGCTTAGCTTACAAAATGTACATGCCAGAAAGCAGAAGCTTTATAAAGAGGAAATTTTCCTCCAAACGCTACCCACCTATGTTCTGCTTCTTTATATGGTGTGGGTTTGTAACACAGGCGCTTCTGTGCCAGATCAGATCAGCAATGAATCCAACCTGATGTCCTCTTTTTGTCTTGGCTTGATACTCAACAAAAAAAATAGGTATTTTGGTGGCATCCAGAAAACAATTTCTATACTTTCACTGAGCAGCTGAACTGTACCCTGGAGCGTGATAGTGTATCTTAAAAATTCTGTCGCCTGTATGGTATAAATTCTCATTATTATTATTCGATTGCCATCTCAGTGGTGATTTGTAATGAGGTTCCACAGCCTAGTTCAGCACCTTTGCCTGGCAGCCTCACTAAATACTCATTTCCAAAAAAATCCAAGGCTAGCAGTCTCTTGATCTGCCATCAAAAAAATCCCCATCCCGTGTACCAGGTGCTAAGCTGTGCACCCTGAACTACCTTATACTAGAAAATATTCTTCTGTGCCCTTTTTCAGTGTTTTCAGTTCAGGCAAATGATCCCGTGTGTCATTTGAACAGGAAGCAATGCAGTGCGTGGAGGAGCTGAGCGCCCAGAATCTGCTGCCTGTTTTTGTGCGAGTGGGAGTGGAGTCGACGCTCGAGAGGAGTCAGATCACCAGGGATCACATGGGCCAGTTATTACATCAGTTGGTGCAGTCGGGAAAGATGAGCAAGCAGGATTTCTTCAAGGGGTTTGTATTCTGCACGTAGAAACAGATACTTTTCTTCAGCATTCGTGGCAAATGAAATCTGTGTTGGAGAGGAATGATTTCCCACATTGCTTTGGTATCCTGCCTTCTCCACGCATCCGTTTCGAAGCAGTATATTGTAAATATACTAATTACTATTGAAGTAATATTGTATTACATAATTACTAATAATTACTAATGAAGTAATATTGTAAATGTATTTTTAAGTATTTCAGATGCTTTGATGAATGTAAATATTTTTGTATTTATGTAAGTATTTATTTCTAAGCAAACATGTAGGTGTATATTTGATTGTGTGAGTTTAGATTTATGTTTTCTGGTGTATTTGTCAATGTTTGCCTTTTGGCAAATCATTGAATACGACTAAAAAAGGAGGGAGACGACAAAAATCTTCACGTGACATTAATCCGTAGCCTGAAGTCCTGTGCATCCACAGAACCGCAGCCACTCTCCTGCTGGTAAAAGAGGCTTCACCCATACGATGTAGTTTCTCGGGACAAGTCAACTTTAAGGAGTAGACGTGTCCTCGAGGGGCTGAGAAGGAGAATACGCCCCAGATGTGGTATCAGAAGGGTTAGACCTTCCTAGAGACTGGAGTTTTGGCTGCTGGCTCATTCCAGGTCTCTGGGTTTTGTGTTCCCAGCTTGGATTTGAACTGGAGTCCAGTTGTAAAAGGATCCGTGTTCCCAGGGAGATCCCTGGCACCACTCAGTCTTAGAGCAAGATGATTAAAACAGGGATAACAACAAAAGCAGCCAGCGAACGGGCAGACGGAATAATGCTTTCAGATACTGAGTTTCTGGGTAGTTAGTCCTGCCTTGCTGCTTTTATTTGAATCACGTCTCATCATGGTACTGCTGACCGCTCCAGTGGTGACCTCCCTGCACTCGTGTCTGGTGGTGAATTTCATCGTGATGCAATCCAGTGGCTCACTGGAAAAGTTTAGGCAGCCTGACTTCAAAAACCGTATGGAACAGCAATAAAAAATACCTGTCTCCAGGGAGTAATGCCTGTCTGTGTCCATGCAGTCGCTGATGGTCAAAACAATGCGTTTGAAGTGACACATTTCCATAATGGATTGTGATTAAAGCCGTTCTTGTGTTTCCTGGAGTGTGGATAAGTGGTTGTGATGCCAAATAAGTAGGACCTTGATGAAATAGTGGGACGTGTGGTCTGAATGTGGCATAAACAAAATGAAACGGCTCCTGAAGATGATGAAAGGACAAGTGATGTTCAGCGGGCACATGAGAACAACACCAAGAACCACTACACTTACGCACACAAGACAAATTACCGTGTAATTAGGGGTTATGGAATGAGTACTGGTCACAGCACAAGTCTGGAGAGATACGCAGCAGGAAACCAATTTCTGGCAGAAATGCTTGGACAAACCTAGGTTGCACTAGTAGAAGAGGACGTAAAGAACAAAGCAAAGGAGATGGTTTCTGGGTTTGAAGCACAAGAGAAAATGTGCATTTATAGTCACTAAACTGGATTTTCAAGCTTTTCAGGGAGAAGTGAATCACGATGAAAACTGGCAGGAGAAACCAAAAAATTACCATCTTGTACCAGGCATGGGAGGTGAAGCCACCTGCAAGGCTGTTATCGGAAAGAAGTTTTGAGCGATTCTGGAAAATGTATCCAGAGTTGGGGAGTGATTTTGTAATTCATCCTGCCACGCTTTCTGTTCTGGATGGAAGCCTCCCTCTGGTGTACTGAACATTTTTCTTGTGGTGGTTTACATACTTACAGACATTTTGCTGATTACATTTGGACTTCATTATTATTAATCCCCCTGCTGTAAATGTTTGGATATTTTTAGGAAAGCACCATTTATTAGATGTTTTGTGTTCGTAGACAAAAATGCTTTTTACTTTTACAGGTTTTACTAGTTGACAAACTATTCGTAACTGGCATATAAGAACTATCGTAAATGGAGCTTTCCTGGATCTATCTCTGGTTTTACAGAAGGCGATGCCTTTTCCACCTACCCTCCATGTTACCACATAGATATGTTGCGACATACCCATTCACTCCTGGCAGTTTTAAAGCTCTGAAAGCACAAGATGGCAATAGTCGTTTTTTTGTTACCTTTGTGATTCTCTTTTTCTCTCCTCTTTTCTGTCTTTTCTTCTGTAACAAAGGATTTTTAAAGTGCAGATTTGCTTTGCAGGAAAAGTCTCAAATTGAATTTATTTAATGCTTGACATTTTTCCTCCTTCTTTTAAAGTTTTTCAGATACCTTGGAGATGGCGGACGATATGGCCATAGATATACCCCATATTTGGTTGTACCTAGCTGAGTTGGTGACCCCCATGTTAAAAGAAGGAGGAATCTCTATGAGAGAACTTATACAGTAAGCAATGCTGTTCTTTTCCAGTGTCGGTCGAGCTGAGCTGTCTGCCTGGCTATGGTATTTTCACAGCATGGTTCCCATCAGTAGATAAAAGACAAGTAGTGTTAGAGGCTCAGCTTCTTGTACGAGTCGATAAAAGGCTTGCTGCTCATCGTTCGGGACTCGCACCAGACTGAAAGCTGTGGTGGGAGGGGAACTTGCTGCTCTGTAGTCACCACTCAGGGGTGAAAGTTTTATCCGTAAATCTACTTCAATCCTGTTTGTTTCAGTTGAGCTTAAAAAATACCCGTGTTGTGCAGTTGGAGTCATTTGAGCGCACACTGAGGCTCTGAGAATTGGACTTGAGGAGAGCAAGGTACTGCGCAGGAGGCTTTATGTCTCGGAGTGTAGTAACTGCCACCCGGGCATTGCCTTAAACGGGCACAAAACCTTGCCTGCAAGATGGGAAACTGCTTCCAGGACCGGAGTTTCTGTATTTTGTACATGTCCTTATATATTTGGGGATTAACTAGAAGCCAATTGAATGGTTCCCTTTTCCTGTAAGTAGTGTATTAAGACAATAATAACCTTTTCCCCAAAAAAGGGTCCTGCTACCCAAATGCAGCATCCCACAAAAACGAGTGGTTTTGATGTTATATAAAAATGAAGTCTTTGTAATTAGCCCTGTTGTGGCAAGTGCACTGCATCACCAACGTCTGTTTTATCGGCAGTTCTAGCTAGACCAAATCCTTTATCCCTGGCAGAGGTAAAGGTGATTTCCTGCATCAGTTTGATCACTACCCCTTGCCTTGCATTCCAAATTCAAATTACAAGGAAAAATACCCGTTTTTCTTTCATTCTAGAGAATTTAGCAAACCTTTGCTTCCTGTGGGAAGAGCCGGCGTCTTGCTTGCTGAAATCTTGCACCTTCTATGCAAACAAATGGTAAGTGTCCAGGCGTACCATTCGTAGATAGGAGCTGGATGCCGCGAGTACATGTCTATGCATGAAGCCTGCACGTTTCCCACATGAAGATATTTAGGGATGGGCCAGCCAGTCCAGATAACCTAGGAAACCTGCCTTTTTCATCCCCAATTTCAAACCAAGACATACGAGGTTCCAAAAAGTTAACTTTTTTTTTTCTCATCACTTTTCCCTTTTGCAGGTACCTTTGCACCTGGCTTCTTCCAGAAGCTAGAGTGCTGAAATACTGCAAGAGGGACATTCTCAAGGTATTTCTGGGCTGACCAGAAGCAACAAGTGCCGGAAATCTTGCGAGAGAGCTGTTCTTGCAGACCGGAGAGGTTCTGAGGGTTGAGATAAGCTGCAGGTGGCCTCCCAGACTTCTGGGTGCTTATCCAAAACAAACCTGCCAACTCTTAAGATTCACCCATCACTAGGGGTAGTGACACCTTTTCACCCTGTAACTTCTAGAGCCTTCTTACACATTTCACAGTTGTGTGTCCAAACAGTTTGGTGGTTTCCCTA